TCCCAAGCAAGACCAAGCAGCACAGAAAACAAGAATGCAGAAGAATCCAGCCTCCCCGAACCGGAGGGAAATTCAAATGCAATAATAGTCAATGGATTTCTGCGATCGAAAGGAAGGTACGGAACAGGCTGTAGCATTGGGATCTGGCCGATGCAGACGGGTCTGTCATGAGGAAAGGAATTCCTTCCAGTGGACTGCCCTGCTCATAAATAGCCAGAGAACTGACACTCTGGGGCACCCCCAAGCGCAGGGACTTTAGATCCTACAAACTAGGGATGATGTGTGGTTCCCTTACACTGTTCAGGATAACAAAGTGTGTGTGTGTGTGTGTGTGTGTAGTAAAGAGTTGTGTGCTTAGGTCACACATTTTAAACACTAGTTAATCCGTAAAGCCCCGCACCCGCCCTTGCAGGAGCCAAGCGCAGGATGTGTACCGGTTTGAGATTTTCAAAGCAACGTGCAGAGAAGATTTAAGGAAATCCCCTGTACGCTGCTGAAAATCTCCATCACACACCTCCGAAGTGTCCAGCATGTATATTTGAGTAGTGTTGCTCCCTCTCCTCCCGCCGGGACTGCAGGGTGATTATCATTGTACTCCTAGACATGCACCACTTACAGATGAGAGCTCTGCGCCGGCACTGCCCCTGGAGCGCGGCACATGTATTAATTAAGCGTTATTGGTTCAGTTTCATTTTTCATTGGCCAGCATCTTGGGATTCCAAAGGCTTTGCAGTCCAATTGCCTGCCTGCTCTGGGATCTAATAACGCATACTTTGGTCCTGCTTTGAGGCCAAAGGGAGGTCACTGGCACTATTTATTACTTGGTTAAGTTCCTTCACTAAGGAGTACACGCATCTTGACAGATAGCTGGTTCCTTGTCTGTTTTTACAGTTGTACATTGCTTGTAAGGTTACAGAGGAAGCAGGGTAGAGACCGGCTGAAAGTGCTTCTAATTCCCTGGTGCCGATGAGCTAACAGAATCCAGCCATACTTTCCTTCTATGTTGATGACAGCATGCCAAAGTTTAAAGAAGGAGTTTGGGGGGAGAGGGAATCCCTTTTCCCTCAGAGCACACTCCGTTTGATCTCACAATAATATATACATATCATATGTACTGGAGATTCGTTTTATCAAACATTCCTTTACACAGTTGTTTCCTGCCCTCGCAAAGTCACTCTCCCCTCTCGCTCTCTCTCCAGCTTCCCTGAGTAACCGCTGGTCCGAGCGTGAACCTAAAGCTTCCTTTCAGTTGGATGGTCAGGGAGCTCTCGTCCACCACCCCAGGATGGCAACGGCCTCTGATTTCGCCTCGCCGGAATCTCCAGCTGAGGAAGCTGTTCTCTCCTCTGCACTGGACTGAAAATCCTGCTCTGCTGATCCCCAGCTAACGACACTAACACACCCTCCAGTTAGGCTTCAGGCTGTGTCCTAGGTCTGCACCTTCTGTGGCGATTAGAACTGTTTCCAACACTGATCTCTACCCCTCATGCCAGGGCAGGGCTGGTGTCCGCGTTGTGAAATCAATCGGCCGCCCGTGGACCCAAAAGGGGAGCACACGGGGAATGCACTGCCCGTGTGGATAGAACAAGAGCTGGATCCAGCCGCTATTGGGCCAGAGCGCGCCATTCGTTGTAAGACGCGCTCTCCATTGAAAGGAATGCTGCGCTCTGGGCCCGGGGTTCCGCACTTGCGGAACCTGTGCTCGGATGGGGATGGAATAAGGAACCCTACAAGGAGGGACCGGCTGGCAGGAGTTGTATGCGTCCTGCTGCTCCCTTTAGACCTAATAGTTCTATGCAGCTGAGACTAGAGGCTGACAGGGAAGGGTAAGGGTAGGGAAGCGACTCTGTTTCCCCGCGGTTTCAGTGAAATTGATCCACGCACTATGAGGAAAATAAATATCTGCTCCCGAGGGTTGGGAGCTCTGACTTTCCTAATGCGCAGCCGAGAGCGAATCCGATTATTTGTTTGCAAGGAAGGAACATGTTACAGAGAAGAAGCTCACATTTGAAATCTGTCTTCCCACTCCACATTTGTCTGAATCCTCCTCTTCGCCCGATAACTGTCGGATCCTCTCCCTTGAGGCTGAGGGCCCGATCCTGCATTCCTAGTGCATCCCTACCTTGTAACCGGTTTATTTGTAAATAACAAGTGAAACCTCCGCTGCGGCGCATTTTAAACTCCAAATAAATAAACGTGACTTCAGCGCGACTCTGAGGCTCAGGAGGAATGCAGGATCGGGCCTGTGATTAATTCTCTGCCTCTCTCAGCCTCTTTGCTCCCTGCACCCTGGACTCCTGGAGATGGTTCACAGCTTTGTTTCTGCTGCTCTTGGCACTTAAATAATCAAACCCTGATCAGCTCCCTGAGTGAAAGGAGACAGATCCCTCTGTTTGCACGGAACAGCGTGAACAAAGATCGGGATTGTTGGGAATTTATCTCTGTTTAAGTCATTCTTCCCCACCCCCAAGCCATGTGCGGATCATTTATGGTGCTTAGTAAAGCGTAATAAGAATTATCAGCCCATTAATTGGTGGAATGGAAGGGAGAAAAATAAGAGGGGAAAAACGCAGAAAGGATAGACAGTACAGCAGTGTGTATAGTTGGTTCCCAAAGCCCATTTTGCCAGGGATCTAGAGGAAATTTCTGCACCAGAGTGCTGGAATAATAAATGCTTCTGGATATTATTTCGCAATTAATTATTAAAAAGTTGGAAGAGATATTAAACCTGCTTCAGGGGTTAAACCTATTTCTAAGTATGGGAGGGCTGGATGAGACCTAAAGTGGGAGTGGGGCACTTAGATTATCCCACATCTGTCTATTGGGTCTCTCACACCTTCCTCTGAGGTATCTGTTCATGACCACTGTCAGAGAGACAGGACACTGGATGGCCGCAGATCTGATCCGGACTGGCAATTCCTATGTTCCTATCTTTTGTTTTGAGGCCAAGGGACCAGATTCTGAACTGTTAAATGTTGGGTAACTCTAATTTAAGTGAAGTTGCTCCTGATTTACACTGGTCTGAGATTAGAATCGGGCCTCCGTCCAATATATAGCTATATTTAAAGGTTCTTTTTGAAATAGGGAAGGTCCCTGGGTTTGCTCCTTAGATCTGAAAATGAACTTGGGAAGGACTCGTTTCCTTCAACACACATACATACGCACTGGAATCGCTTTAACTCTGGAAGAAGAGGGCTCTGAGCTCAGTGGATGCATGTACTAAACCCTTCCTGAGTTATCGGACACGCTCCTGACCTTGACATTTAGTTCTTATTTGAAAACAACTCCAACAATAAACTGCATCTATTGCAGGGGTATTTTTAACCTGGTGCCCTGTTGAATGTGAGGAAATGACTGCAAAAGGTGGGGATGGCCAATTACCAAGGGCTCTCTGTGATCTCCCTTCTGATTTTTTCCCTTGATAATTGGCAAGGGAGGACTAGTTGACTGGCAAATAGACTTCCACCCAATCTTTTATTGATTTCTTTGCTCAACCCAGTAGTATAGACAAATATAGAAGTCTCCAATTTGATATTTCTTTTTGGCTTTGCCCTGTGGGATCTTCTCGGGTGGCAGTCGCTGGGCATCGCTGTTGGGAAGTACATGCCCCTGAATCTGGCTCTTAAAAAAAAAACTGTTTAAAAGCGATGGATTGATCGATTCAGGAATGTATGTGTCCTCCTAGCGTATAGTCTATGTATACTTAGCATTCCAGCTAGGGTCAGGTGAAACTCTCGTAAAGACTGTATGTAACCTGTGCCAGTTACAGCAACGATCACACACGAGCAAGGAACATTTCAACACCTATCTCACCCAACTCTACATTTATCTGTAATAAGGCACAGTTTTAACAAATTAAACTTGTTTTTTGGGGGGTATAAAATGACTTGTTTCCCTTCCCTCACCCTGTCAGTCCTTATTCTCAGCTGGAGCGGGTGTATTGGGTATAAACACAGAACCTGCTGGAATTTATTTGCTCCTTGTTTTGGTTTAAAGTTTGTTGTTTGTTAGATTCTGTCCACTTTGTGTTCATCTGAGAGAGGGGAAGTTTTGGAAGTGCTTTCCTAAATCTTCCTGACAGTATGAATAATGCAATCCTCCCTAATGAGGAAATTACCTTTTCTGTTCAGTAAGAATTCTTGTTACTTAAACAAAGCAAACAGTTTACTAAAGAATAAGATAGTCCACTTTTAGGAAGACTTTGCCTTTGTGCTAAGAGATCCCTAAAATACTTGGTATAAACAGTTCAAAGATGTTCATTTCCACGTATGTTTTGTAGTGTTCAGTACTGGAGGTTAATTAGATTATAAAGCACTTATAATATAAACTATTGAAACAAACAAATTCCATAACAATTGTAGCTAGCAGAATATATACCTTTCAATGGCTCAAAAACGCTACGCGATAGGTTAAATTGTACCACATTAGGAAGTAGGAGAGGAAACAGAAATAAAAACAAACCAATCAGTGTAATCTTGAAAGAATGGGTTCTAATTTCACAAGCAATTTTCTGGAAGCTATACCAAACAGTTTTCTCTTTAGTTTAATCCTCACTTAACAATAAATCCTCAAACCTGGGAGATCTTTGATTATTGCAACAGGAACATTTCGCTGATTGCCTTTGGGTTAATATCTGTTTCCTTTTAGAGTAGTAAGACCAATTTACATATTCAACCCGTGATTTAAAAGATATTTGCTTAAACGTTATTTCTCAAAATCATGTAGTTTAATCACTTAACTACAAAACATTTAGTTGTGTTAATTTTTAAGGGAGAAAACAAATTCAGACCCTGATACTTAAATACGGTTATTTGTATTGATTCTTTTATTATTTTAAAACATAAAATCGGAGTTGATAATGCTGTGTGATAACTTCTGATGCTGTGGGGGGAAAGGATTACAGTGAAAATTGCTATGTAGACTATGACAAGTTCGGTTGTACAGATAGATGCTAATTGCAGTTCGTTGAGATTGAAAGGAGATCTTTTATCTTTACCTACCCAAAGCAGAAGGTTGCAGGGTGGGGTTCGAGAGTGACTGCTGCATTTTGTTTAATATTCTACATGTCCCGTAGAGAATTTTATGTTATGCAGGTTGAATTATGCCTGGTGGGAAAAAATACAAAGTACACAGACCGAGTGATTTGGAATGTTTCGCTTCTCGTGGAATATGCATGAAATATCAAAATGTAAAGATATCTAATATGCGTGTAATATCAAAATATAGCATCGAGGAACTATCAGAACCCTGTTTATATGAGGCGTTGGGAGCGTCTTTCAGAAGCAGATGATTTATTAGTAACTTTGAAAAAAGGAGGTAACCGAACAGGAGCCCCTATTTCGTGTTTGGAAAGAGTGTTATGGCTTTAAAAAACCGAACAAACTACCACCACTTTATTGGCTGAGTAGGGCAGAGAACACCAACAAGACAAACTGCTGTGAGGGCTGAAGATGGGTTTGTATCGGTCTCTTTCCCTGCCTTAAGTGTCTGTTGTCTGCAGGCAAAATCCAATCCCGTGGGAGAAAGTGTCGCTTGTGGCGGGAGCTCGATCTCTAGAGGGAGAGGGTTGGAAGGAAATTTCACACGGACCAGAGTCAGTGGGTGTTTCCAGCCAAGGCTTTCTAATGACCCCCGTCCTCTGTAAGGACCTGATCCAAAGCCTCTTGAAGTCAATGGTGATGCTCCCCGTCCCCGTTGATTGGAGTGGACTGTGGATGAGGCTTTAATTGCTCATCGCCCTGCAGTTTGTTTGGATTCCATTCAGCGCGTTTCATTGCCAGGATGAACATCTAACCGGGAGCTAGAGCGGGGGATAGGAGAGCAGGCGGCTGGGGACACCTGGACAGTGCAGGTGCTAACCTGCGCCGGACGCCCAGCCGGGCCTTTTGCGCTAGCCCAGAGCGTGCGCTAACGTGGCTCACCTTTCTGCGAGCCGTGGGACAATGTCAGCGGGTAACATTGCCAAAGGAAAGGGCAGGTGCGCTGAATGGGATCGCGAATAGAAGCTGTCCCCAGGCCCTGCTTTGCAGAGGCTGCAGGTCTCCCGGGAAAACACGGTCCTACCCCCTGTGCTAACCCCGGGTGAAAGAAGAGCTGCTGAGGCCGGGCTTCTCTACGGGGGGGAAGTGCCAGGCGAATCCTTTGGAAACAAAGATTCCATCAGTCCCCGTTATTTATTGTGTACGGCTCTGCTGCTGGCTAAGTTATTTCAATGGGATTGTATGTTTCATTTAAATATCAGTTCGCTGAGTAGAATTGGGGACATCTTTTTAAAGAGACTGAATCCCATATATCTCAGCACACTAAAGTATCACTGGCCAGCCAACTAAAGTCCCTTGCTGTGTTACTCTGCCCTTTGCCTTCCTTGTGATTCTCTTCCATAGCTCTGGTCCTCTCCAGTTTGAGCCTTGGGAGAGATTCGTACAAAGATCTCAGTACTCTGGTACCCTAAGGAGCCCTGTCACACTTGCTGCCCCAGGAGGGAAGTTCTTGATATCTCCCCAATATCCGGACAATTAATTCCAACCCCTGCCCCGCAAAACGGCCACAAAAGATCAGGCCAATTAGGCGTTACCCTGCCAGATAATGAATGATCTTATTACTCTTAGTTCTTCATCACATTTACTGGAGTGAATTCCTCCTGCCCGTCCTTACAGCTTCCACTTGCCCGCAGAAGGAGTATTTAATTCCTCTTGGGACCTTTAGTAACGAGAGATTTGCAATGAAAAGACACATTTTCTGCCTCTTTAAAACTGTGTCTTTCATTCATGCTTCTGGCAAGGAAAAGCTCATCCTCCCCCCCCCCTTCCCCGGATTGCCTGTAATAGATCCCCCTCCCCTATCCCAATTGTGCCAATAACTGTTCCACATGCAAGCAGCTCGTATCTGAAATCGTTTAGCGTGTACTTACTGACCACCTGGAGCCATCTAATAACCTGCCTGCTGCGGACCCTCGCTCAAGGCAAAGGCAAACCCGAGGGCTTTTAGGGTTAGTGGCGTTTGCACCAAGAGGTGGGAGTAACGTGTAGGGGGAGAGAGAGAGTCTCCCAGCACCCAGCCAGCCCCCTCCCTCCAGTGCTTTGGATTTGGCTTGGCGCAGCAGAGCAGGCTGAAGTTGTGTGAATGGAGCATCAGAGCCCCTGACTCCTCCTCCCGTGCAAGCCCCGCTATTTGAGCTTTGGGAACTTGAGGGTGAACAGGCAGCATCCGAGGTACGGAGTTCTAGGCGGCTCGCGCGCCCCGCTGCTCTCCCCAGCCAGCCGCGGGCCGCTCTCCCGGTGCTGTCGGAGTAAGGGGTGAACCTGGAGAACAACCTTGCCCTGGCGCTGCTGCCGGCTCCCGCAGGGCTGGACCCGGGGACTTGTGTTCCGGAGCAAGCTTCCCCCAAGGGGCTGAGCTCGGCAGCCTGGTGCCTGCAGCCGGAGCCGGGCTCTGGCTTGGCAGGCAGGGGGCAGGTCCCCTGGAATAAGTGCGGCCCGGGGGGGGACTGGCTCTCCGGCAGGAGGAAAGTTTGCGACCAGATGGGCTCCGACGTGCGAGATCTCAACGCCCTGCTCCCCTCCGTGTCCTCCCTGCCGGGCAACAGCAACTGCGCCATGCCGGTGAGCAGCGCCGCGCAGTGGGCGCCGGTCCTGGACTTCCCCCCGGGGGCGTCCTACGGCTCGCTGGCCCCGCACTCCTTCATCAAGCAGGAACCCAGCTGGAACGCCTCGGACCCCCACGAGGAGCAGTGCCTGAGCGCCTTCACCGTCCACTTCTCCGGCCAATTCACCGGCACCGCCGGCGCCTGCCGCTACGGCCCCTTCGGAGCCCCTCCGCCCACCCAGGCGCCCTCCAGCCAGGCTCGGATGTTCCCCAACGGCCCCTATCTGCCCAACTGCTTGGAGAGCCAGCAAGCCATCCGCAACCAGGGTAAGGCCAGCTCGCGCCCAGCGCCGCCGGGCTCGGGGAATGGTTTATGGGGCTCTCCCTCTTAATGCTACAATCCCGACAGGCTTGTAAACAGAGCTGTGCCTTGGCTGTTCCCCGCCAGGCAGCAGCTGGGTAATATAATACCCGAGCCCCTTCCCAGCGTGTCCTCTTCCGCGTGCAACTCAGTAGAGAACCCCCTTCTTAAACTGGACCAACATCTATAGACCTAGTTCTGGCAGTCATGGCTCTACAGGGACTTCCATTGCACACCGGTGTTAAACTGGGCTGGCCACTAACTCAGGCTTTCTTTAAAATAATATACGAATTGGCATTGCTATTCTATTCGCTCTTAAACTGAGTTCTGACTCAGCTTCTGTAGTGAAGGTGGGTGGTTCACTCTTGTTGTTTGGCGAGACCAGGAAACTTTCTCCTTGCAGAGTTTTGTTTCGAAGTGGGGCTGGCTTCAAGACAGTCAGATATTGATGAGGTTACTCTCAAGGTGATCTAGAGAATTAACTTCCAAAATATCTGGTATAAAGTGGGGAATTATCTTAAACTGTTAATGGATCATCGTAAATACATCACTTCCGTTAGAATATATTTTAATCTGAAGCCCTCTAGTTGTTAAATTAACGTTTAGAAGCTGTGAAATAACACGCCCACTTTTCCCTCTCCACTAAACGCGTAATTGTGGCATCTCCCGTTGGAAGATATTTTAAAAACAAAATCCGAACTAACCAAACAATGGGATGACATTTAGATAATCTCAATGTGGTGTTAAAATGTAATCTCCTAGGAAGGGAATAACAGAGAAACTACTACCGGTATTTTCAGTAGCCATTAAATTACCAGGAAAATCTATTAGCACAAATCCAGCAATCCCTAAGTGTGGACACGTAGTTATAATCTAAGAATTTTCCTTCCATTTGCTGTAATTTAAACATCTGCAGATGTGACCGGGGAAGGGGGAAAATACCAAGCAACATATAATGAAGCACTGCGGTTAAGGTTCAGTTTTCACCCCGTTTGAAAGAAATAAGTGCGTCGTTTTTATTCGATGTGCAACACTTTCCTGGGGCATCTGAAAGCTTGCAATGGCTTCTTGGTTAAGGGTTTGCTGTATAGAAATACCTCATGTAATCAACTACTAATTATTTATCTTAAATGCATTAAGATATAAGGTTTAATTATCTTAAACCTAAAACTGGAAAAATATAATTATAGATCTATTGAGAACATCCCTTGATTGAATATGAGATTTTAAGATAAATTAAATGAGGCCTGATCGGGGGTTGTCTTTTTTTTTAATCCGATGGGAAGAGACCTTCAGGCAGGTTGTATTATCTTTTCTCAAAGGTATGTACTATTCTTTTTAAGAGGAGGGCAACAAATCTTTTCTACACAAAGGTGTTCTTACTGCCTTGCACCAGATCGGTTACAATTCGGGCGCACGCACACACACACTTGTCAACCTCAAGAGCAGGGTTTCTTCTGGGGAATAAGTGCAATATTCACATAGCTGAATTGCTTATCTTCTAAAGTGCCTCATTGTAATACATATTGATAACCCACCATCTCGATAAAGAAACTGGGCTTTTATTATTATTTATTTTATTTGAATTGCGTCGTGGGTTGTAGAATAGGCATTGGGGAGAAAGAGCTAAGAATATATAGGAAAAATAAAGTATTTGAGCTTAATTATTTAATATTTAGTTACTGTAGCAATTACTTCAGCAATGCAGTCATTGAAACGAAAATGCAAAGCTCGTTGATTCTAGGGCCGTAGTAAACGTAAAGTATCTCTGAGCAGCGTTCATTTATTTGGTTCCAAAAGTAGTTCAAACGCCTTGTTATTGAAAAGCGATCACTATTGGAATTATGTATGGAGGGGGAGATGTTTCAGATTTATTTGACACTTGGGCGTGTCCGAGCGCGGAGGATGTCTTAAACTGATATTTTATTTTTATTATTTTAATGCACAGGTTACTGGGCAATGGAGTAGTTGGGAATATCAGGGTATCCTGTACTCTCTGACATGTTAGGTAAAATAACGCTATGGGAAACTTACGCCTTCCATGATTGCAAATTAAAGAGCATTCGCCTTTTCAAATATCTGCTCTGTGTTTGTGCGGGAGGTGTGTGTGGGTTTTTTTTGCAGTTTGTGCACCTGGGCTGATGTTGGATTTCTACTGTTTAGCCTTTTTTCGAATAACCTAATGTCTCCAAAGAAGTTCTTCTATATTTGCTTAAACGTTTAAAATTTATATGTGCAGTATTTCTGGAGTCTTCCAGCAAAAATTAAACAAAAACAACAGCGAAGATTAGGAGAAGACCACCACTTCTAAGACACAGACAAGGGCAGTATATATAGTAACTGTTTTAAATATCTGTTTGCAGTGACCATCAGAAATAAGCTGCATTCTACATTTTGCTCAAAATAAGAGTAATTCCGTTTTAATAATTCAACACCAGATACGGCTACCTTTATATTTTTCTGAGCTCTGAAACTATACATTCAGTAATTCTCGGTTAGATTTTCTATCTGTATACTAAAAAATACTTGTAGATCATCGTGGGGAGAACAGTGTCAGATGGGAAGGAAATTTTGGTTCGAACGACATTAAGATAAATTAATTTTAATATTTAAAATTTAGCGCATTTGTGTGGGTGGAGAAACGAATGCAATTGGTCAGAGCGATTCCCTCTAATCGATTCTTAGAGAATATTAGCCACAGTAAACTTATTTTCCTCGCCATTTTGATTAAAACTAGCGTAAGAAATTATTTGGGAGAGTTAAACCAATCTTTCTCATTTAAAGAAGAGTACTTACTAGTCCTTTGGCTGGACCTGGGTATTACTGCAGGCAAACCTGGTAGCTTATCTCTAGGGGGAAATAATTACTTTCAATAAAGAGACAGCAAAGTTGTCCAAAACTAGAGGTGACTCAGATCCTATCACACTGAGTCAGCTAAAACCATCACTTTGACACACGCAGGTGTGCGATACCTCCAGCATTTCGATGGCGCTTCACACAATCGGTTATTTGCATATTTTGATCTTTACAAACGCATCGCACGCCCGCTCATTTGCTTTTGTTCTGCATGGAGAAGACAAGACTCAGCCTGACCAAATACTGAAAAAGCTTCCAGAATGGCCATGTTAACCTGGGTCTTAGGGGGTGGGGTGGGGGAAAATGGGTGGTACCTACTTCCATTATCTACTAATCCTCTGTATGTCTCCTACCTGTTCTTTCTCCGTGTTCAAATGGCTACCTACCAGCTTTCGCTAAATTAAGGCTTTCTGAAGATCGACTCTGATCTCTAAACCGCTGGCGAGATTTCCCCGGTGGGGCGCCCAGGCAGTAAATATTTGGTTTCAAGACACACATGTCAGTGTCATATTTTGATACACATCCCGTTATAGCGCCCAGTACAGTGACATTCCCAAAATAGTAACGGGTAAGAGCATCTTCTCTGCTAAGCAAAAATATTTTGCAGCACACAACGCTTCCTTTGAGCCAAAAGGAATTTGGTAAGATCGCAAACAGTATTTTAGGGCTGAATAAAATGTTCTTGCTTTGAACCAGTCAAGGTTGCACTTTGCTTTTTCAGACGTTTTTCAGACCGTGGGAAAGACGCTACCTTGGCTCAGCAATCATTTTTTTGCCAAGTGTTGGGGGGCGGGAAATAAGGCTTTGAAACCTCTGCCCATTTTCTCTTCTGGCTCCCCTGTCCTTTCATCCAGCTGGATTCCTCCAACAATTGGATTCCTTCAGAAGATCGCATGCTGCAACAGATGCACAACTTTCAATTATTTTCAGCACATTTTAATCAGCCCTGCTTCTGATAAGGTCCTAATTAAAGAGACCTTGCTATCAGGAGGCTTGTTCAGAACTCAACTCTCTTATCACATTCCTGAAGCTTTGGGTCAGGCAACACCGGAAAATGTGGCCAAAACATCATTCTGCTCAGAACAGAGTTTCGAAGGTCACCAAATGTCTGCATCAGGCCAAAAGGAACTAAGAAAGTGTTAGTGTTTTAGAACGCTAAAAAGAAACAAGGAGGGGGAAAGAAAAAAATCCTTCAGTCTATGAAGGAGATAAGAGAGAGAGAAACAGCCGTAACATGGAAGTGGATGGGGTACCCGTGCTGTCATCGCTGCCAAAGGGGCCCATCATCCTCTGGAAGAGAGAGGACCCGCAGAGCCATGGGGGTGGGATACAAAGACTAGGTTGGTCTGGAGAAATGCGGCTCGGTGTTTAATCGAAGCCCGGGACAAAGGGCTGGTTCAGAACTACTTCGAGGGCAGAATAATCCAGATCTTTGCTATTTTGTAGCTTCCTCCTTTCGTCTCTGACGGAATTCCATAGTCTGGTGATTTATTATAAAATGGAGGCATGGGACTAGTGCTACTCCAGCGCCACAGTGTTTTCTGTAATCTCCACCTTCTGCCTCCTACTGATCTGTCTTCCCGAGCCCTTTTAAATAAAGGCAATATAACCTAATTGGAAACTCTGTCATAACAAGTGACCACAACACTGTCGGGGCAGGGATTGTTTTCTGATGTATCTGTACAGCGCCTAGCACAACGGGGTTCCAATCCGGAGGTTGGGGGGGGGGACGGACAGGGGGCTAGTGGAATATACATGTAAGAATGGGGATAAAGAGATTCGTAAAAGCCAATGTCCAACTGTGTGTTTGGTCAAAACTGTTCCCCGAAGGAGGCCCGAGCTAGGCAAATAAGGGTTAGAAGAAAATGTGATCTTTATAAAGAAGCTGAGCTCCAGGGAAGATTTAAGGTTTGTATTTGCTCTCAAAAGAGCTGCGCTGACATCTTTGGGTCTTGGGGTAAATGCTGATGAGCTGAGAAGCCTCAAAGATAATATTACTTTGTAATTACTTTTTTAGCTGAAGTTGTTTAGCTGGTTCCAAGTAATTAATGAAAGTTGGTGTCCAAACGCCTGATTTACGATTGGGTGTCGGCCTCGGGTCAGCAGAGGTGATCCCTTTCCATCTGAATTTACTCGGTGAAAAATATAAGGTGTTTATTATTTTGGCCAGCAATTTTCGCTTTAAAGTAGGAGTTTATTTTTCATTTAACATTCCACCTTTTTATTGCAGACTCTTCGGAAAGCTGTTCTTAAAAAAAAGATTAAAGGGTAACTTTAAAACTAGAAATGGCAGATGAGAACACACAGCAGATGGGAATCTTCCTCTTTAATATGAGCAACAATTAATGAAAACATCCTTTTTATTACTGAAACCGATCTGTCCTCTTTAAACAGGAACGAGACTTCCGATTTTCCATTCTCCATAGCGCACTGACTGGCTTTGCTCCTGACCCGGAGCTGCACTATGCCAGTGGGCATCCCTCCTCTTCCCCCCGGGCACTGCACCCTCTTTGGCCTGTCCCCCCCTTTCAGTACCTCTCCAGAGCTGACCTTCTCAGCAAAGGCTTTGATTTTTTTTTTAAACTGAACTCTCCCGGTCTGATAATGTGTTGTCCTGGCCTCAGTGCCTCGCTCTTCTAGGTTGCTTTGAAATGGCACTTGTCTGGCTGCAATGGGGAGAATGAGTTATGGGGCAAAGATCCACCATTTCCGATGTTAAATACAGAGGGGGCTGTACCAGAGTAGATCAGCAATCCGAGAAGAGACACAAATAGCACCAAGGGGGAGGCTTTAACTGGACCCACAGCCATAAATATAGAGCGAACTATTTTGGTAACCCGCTCTTCGGGTTATCGGAGTTCACTTTGATGGCTATCTTGGCAGAAGGGAGCCATTGGGAGCTCAAGCCCTTGGAAGAGCGTAGGCTTCAGTTTTCGACGCCTGCTTGGAGACACTTCGCAGGAAGCTGCTTCATGAGAAAGTTCAAGGCTAGGCAACTAACTCCCGATTCTTCTGTTGTTCTTTTGGAAGGTTACAGCACAGTGGCGTTTGATGGGACTCCAAGTTACGGCCACACTCCCTCTCACCACGCAGCGCAGTTTACAAACCATTCTTTCAAACATGAGGACCCCATCAGTCAACAGACCTCGCTAGGTAACGTCAGAGACCTTTATGTAGCCGAACAGGAGGGAGAAACATCCAACACCTCCCGCGCAAAAATAGCCTCGCTATGGGATGGACCCAGCAATTACAAGTGTTACCCAGGCTCTCTGTACCCGAGGCCAGGGGTCCCATTATTAATATATTATTTTACTCTTGGCTTCTGCACAGCCTACCGATTTAATTACACGGGTTATCTGAGCCTGCGGGCTCCACATCAATGGGAGATACTTGAAATGTAATGAACTCCAATGCCACTTGGTTAGTGGTGCTAAAGATGTTACATGGCGGGGATCTCACTGTAAATCCAGAGTGACTCGTAGTGAAGTTACTCCGGATTTACGCAGGTGGCAAAGGAGAGCAAAATCTGGCCGGTGCACACAAGTAAACTTGCTTTATGCAGGCCCAACACCCGTGTGTTTGAATTCTGACTATAGCTGCTTAATCCTGCAGCCAACGTATCTTGTATTGGAACTTTTCGTAACTTTCAAAGTAGCTCTCCCCCTTTCCCATCCAGATTTCTACTAAAAGGGCTGAGCCTGGCGGTTGTTAACTCTTTGTGGTTTGTCTACAGGAGATCAACAGTACTCGGTACCTCCACCAGTGTACGGCTGTCACACCCCCACAGACAGCTGCACGGGCAGCCAGGCCCTGCTCCTGAGGACCCCATATAACAGGTACCTCCAAGCGGAAGCCTTTACTGTTCGCTTCCTCTTTGATTGCATTTAACCTTGCTTGTTGCACTGACAAGTTTTTTGGCTGGTGTGTGTGGTGGTTTTTCTCCTTGGCAGACAACTCCTTGTGTAGGGGAAATAGAATGTCTTTTCTTTTTTGTCTTGCCTCATGCTTTTATGCATTTTTTTCTGTTTTTGTCCTGGTCACTAATTTTTGGATTTTTAACAAGGTATTTCCTGTTGTCTGGCGCACACATTTTCCTCTGTTATGAAGGTTCTATGATGTACATAACATGCCTGCCCCAGCTACCTGCTTTACTTAGATTGCTTCTCACTAGAGCGGGAACAATAATGAAATCCTCATGGTGTTTTGAGCCTGGCTCTTCTTCCTGATGTATACTACTCTATTTTGTGGACTATATCGCCTTACAAAGAGACACGTTCAGAAAGCAACGGTTTAGCAATCTCAAGGTGGATCCTGACAATGAATTTACTAGTCCGGTGTATGTACCATAGAAGCCACGCAAAGGGCTTTCTTCTTTTTAAATGAAGGGCCTGATACTCTACCCACCAGTGACTCGATGGCAGTTTTAACTGAGGGCCAGATTCTGTTCCCAGTGAGATAATTCAATGGCAAAACTCTAAATGGGAATAGGATTAGGCCCGGAGAAAGGATTGATCAGATTGACGTGATTATGAGGGACCAGAGTGACAGGACATAATATGAATGCTTGAAAACTGGGGGGAGGGAAGGGGGGAGTGTGTCCTGGAATTTTCTGACACACACATTATAAGGCGGCTGCAAAAAAGATTTATATAAATGTGCTTCAATGATAGATTCTTACCAGCTGTGCGAAGCTGGTAAGAACTAAGACATGTCAAATTAATGTTGCAGCTTCTTCCCTAAAGCTGCATTTCCTGCGGTTAGTTTCTTTTTAATACACCACTGTCAATTCCATTTCCCCCATTCCCGTGAGTTGACCATTACAGGTCCCGGTCCCACAATCGCTAGTCTCTTTGACCCATGGAGTAGTCCGCCTGCCCACTATCTACTGCAGGTGGGACGCTCCAAACTATGACCCAAACCCATGCAAATTAACTGGAGGCTTTCAACGTCTTCATTTCAGTGGGCTCTGGAGCAGTCCCTCGGTGCTGTGTGTCCGGCCTATTCTTAAAAGGGGTATGTGTATGGGTGTGAGGGGAGACTAGCAGATCATTTAGAAATAACAGCAATGGACAGTGCATACGAAAATAAATATCTGTAATTCAAAAACCAGTTCATTTTAAATCCCCCCCCCCCACGATGTGGCTTTGTATAGCAAATTAAACCGCCCTTTTTGTGACTTCCAATGTGATGTAAGAATGGGTTAAATATACACTTAAAAAGCAGAATCAGAAAATTAATACCCGCTTTGCTTGCCACCAAAATATGGATCTCCATTTCTGTTTGTGTTAAATGGCGTACATCTATAATGGACCCTTTTCAATAGCTATTTCCCATTTCCTTGGTTTGGCATGGGGGCCAGTTGTGTCTCCTTCAATTTTACAATGTGTTTAGGAGTGAGAAAAGAAGTTACCCAAAATTTATTCTTAAACTTTTTGTGAACTTGGAGCCAGTCCCATATCTCTGAGTTGCTAAGTAACTTGAGCACACAAAACAATATGCCTTTGCGAAGGAAGTTGCAACTGACTCTTCTCATAGGCTGGTTATATCGTCTTTGATTAATCAACACTGGACATGGGACAACAAAATTCTGTCACTTCCACAAGCCACTTCTCCAATTAACGTGAGTTGACGTCAAGGGAAGGAGGGAATGAGGTAATGAAGGAAGGAAAGAAGCCTATCCACATAGATTAGTTGTAGAATAATTGGCGGGGAGAATGCCTTCACTGAAACTGACAAAGATTGTTAATCTCTCAGGAAAATCTATAAATATGATTTGTAGAGCGGCCTCAAAAGGAAAAAAAATGTGTGGCTCTGCATAATTCGCGTGCAGCTCAAGGCACAGATAGTGTTTTCTTTCTTAGCAGTTTATTCATATTTCAGTGCCTTATAAGATCCCCCTTGCATTTTGCACTTGGATTTCAGACAGCTCAGTGAAATCCTCTCGCTCTCTGTTCCATTTTGAACTAATATCTATAACATTAAATGCACAAATGGCCGGACTTTAACGGAAACTTAATTTTGTTGATGGACCATAGGGCAAGACTCTGGTCGCTGAATCGGGAGAACTCCATAAAACTTTATCTCGCCAGAATCCCAATAGCTAGACCAGTTCTTTAGAAACGACCGGTACCTTTGCTGTGGCTGTCTCCCCAGCCATTGTAACCCTGGCAGGTCTGTTCTTTGGAGACTCACTCTAAATTATTCTAGATTTTAACACAAACGCTAACTCATAGAGCTACTTCATTGAGTAAGAAACCTTCACTCTGGGAACAGCAGATACAAAGATTCTGTTTAAGCCCCGCTCTCCCTTGGCTACCGAGTAGTATAGCTTCAGCATTATTTCTCGCGATGGGATGTGAGCAAGCACAATCTATTGATACTACTGATTCCACGGCGGATGCACTCAGTTTTACAGTAAAGAACTGTTGCTTGTTCTAAAACTCCAACCGGAGATCTCTACCTTTCATCTTCCCAACGATGTCTGTATAATAGGCATTTTTCATAAGCTTCGGTGACATTTTCCTTAATGAATAAATAGGGCACAAACACTACATCGCCAGTAACTTAAAATCTCTTGCTGTGAGTTTTGGAATTAGACTCTTTCATTCATGGGTATCTGAAACTCAATCCTTAATTCATCCTATTACCGCTCGGCATTGTAGCATGCAGTCAATTTCTCCCTGACTTGCGGCTTGATCCGTCTCCCATTGAAGCCAATTAAAGTTGTAACACTGACTGCAGTGGGATAAAGATTAATCCCTTAAACCCTTTTGGAGCTAGCAGCATATGTATGTAGAGCTCTACCAGAACGTTTACACACGCCAGAACAAAAGCGTTAGTACTCCAGTTTCTCAACACTTTGTAATGGGCATACTGGCAGATCTTTAAAGTGTCGGCTCTCTAGCATTTCATTATAATAGGGAGTCTCTTTTAAAATAGAGGATGGGATGCTATGCTACTCTTCTTCTTTCGGTATCTTCAGCCCTTGGAATCACCGATAAAACCTCCTAATGAAACCACAGTTTGACTTAATCCATCTGGATATAGTTCTTGTCCTTAGCAGCTATCTGCAGTAAATAGGCATATGTAGAGACTATTCTCTCACCACTTTAGACACCAATTGTAAACGACACATGGAAACAAGTTGTTTGTTTGAAGCCTAGATAGAAAGTTGAGCTACAATTTTACTTTAATGCACGTTCCAGAACGCCCCTTGTCTGAAAAATTACAATACAGCGGTGATCAGAATAAACCCAAAGTTCACTTGCTGATGTGGCTGTAAGTATCCTCTTGGATCATCCGTTTCATCCCAGCGAGTGTGTCAGATCCATATAATCTCATTTTCTCCGAGTGCCAGAAGCAGGAATACTGGTGCCCTGTTGGGAGGCAGAGCGAGCCAGTTGGCCTCTAGGCAGTACCGAGGGTAGGAAACATGGACTGGAATTTATGAAGAACATACCTGAGTAAAACAACAAGGAGTCTGGTGGCACCTTAAAGACTAACAGATTTATTTGGGCATAAGCTTTCGTGGGTATAAACCTCACTTCTTCAGATACCTGAGAAACAAGAGTATTTTTCATGTTCGTTCCTTAGTTCCTCCACGGAAGATGGTAGAGGAGCGGCTAGGGAGAACACAGATGGTGATTAGTATAGATGCAAGGAAGATATTAAACTAACTCTTGGCCCAGGAGTTCTCCAACTTGGCATTCTGTGGATCGCTCTTTGAGAGATCCTCTCATGGGCCACCAGGACCTACTCTGCAAAATATTCAATTCTTCACATCTCCAGGAAGGGCTTCTCGGACTCTTGGTGGCCCACAGACCACAGTTTGATAGCCATTGTCTTCATTCCTGTTCGGAAAGCCTATCCCTTTTCTTCTTTCTTCTCACTCCACCCCATGCATAATTAAAACAAGACTGACAAAATGTAAGGGCATCCACATTGGTGTAATTTACACCTTCTTCTGGTCTTCTCCATTTGTATGTTACACCAACTTACTGCTTACACTGACTTAGCCTGCTGTCAGTAATATGGTCCCTTCCTTACCCACATCACCTCTGAATTTGACCACTGAGTCCCATTGGAGGAGTCTAAAGCTCCACCAGCTTCCATAGACTTCAACTTCTTCCCCTCAGAAAATCAGGCCAGGAATTTAGGTTTGACAGTATGGATTTAGGTGCCTAAGTTTAGGTACACTCATTTTGGGGAAAATGCCTAAATTGATCTAGCTCTGGATGTTTTCAGATGTTCATGTGCATCTTCAGACGCAGCTGTAGTTCGTGGAGGAAAAGCTTTGTTATACACAACAGGTGAGCTAAAGTGGCAAAAAGGTACCAAAATCCTGAGATAAAGGAGAGAATTTCCTACAAAGTCTCTCTCTATGGAGATTTCATAAACACTCAGACTGTCTAAAATTACATTGTGTTAGAACAAGTATTAACACCGTGTTAAGCACCATGTGGTACTTTAATTTAGACCAGGACTGCTGTGTTTAACATCTGGTCTTGGGTAGCCCTATGCTGGACTAGGGTTAATCCCAGCCAGCTGGTGCCAGACAGTATTTGTGTAGCTGTTTCATAGAGGTATTGACATTCATTAACAAAACATGTAATTTTGCAGTGTAGACAAAGCATTGTTTTTCCTTAGCAGATGGCCCACAGAGTATTCCCAAAGGTGAGCAGTACAGTAATGCTCCACCTTTGTTAGCAGGCCAACCCTATTAATCCTCTTCTTTTCCTCAGTCCGTTTACAGGTTGCTTAACACTCGTTTCATTGTGTGCACATACATATTAGTATTTTGTTTTGTTTGTTTAAAAGTGGAGGAAGGAGGGGGAAT